AATACTATTTTTTTGCAATTCATCTAGTATTCGGAGTTTAATCGTACTTTGATAACTTTAGGTCACATAGATTGATTTTTTTTTATTTTTTATGTGACAGTGAAATGCCTGGGATTGTTAATTAATATTTTCATCCACAGAGAATTTTTGTTTCGTTTTAGTATAGAATAAAAGTATATAAGCACCTCAAGTGAAATTGTGAAAGTTAATAATTAATTTTAAACGTACATTTCATGAAATCAGGGCCGCCCCTGACCCAAGGTGACAAAGGCCATTCCCTATGGCCTCAAGTTTGAAAGGCCTAAAAAAAATATTGAAACTCCAAATTTTTTTATTTATTATTTTTTTTTTGAAGTTGGGTCTCTAACCCTTTAAAAAGCGACAACAAAATTGTTTTAAATAAGAGACACAAATTATTTGGGTATTTAACTTGCATTCTTTTTTAAGAAATAAAATGGATCTATAATTAAATTATGTGGAAATTACATCCAACCAAATTTTTTAAGATCCAATTTCAAAAATCAAATCTAAAGTTTGTTTAAACAAAAATTAGATATCAATTCAAATATTCAGCACCTGTTTGATCTATATTATTATCTCTCATTTTATAATAATTTGGCTCAAGCAGGGCCTCAATATCCTCTATCTTCTCTCCCTAAATCATAACCAACCAAACCCTAAAAATTCCAAAATCACAACACACATCTTTCTTTTCTCTTCGGCAACGCCACGACGCCTCGCAGCCGTGGAACAACCATTGGTTTATCGTGTGCAGAATCACTGGAGCGTCGTCATCTCTACAGCATGCACCCCCCATCTATCCCTTCTTTGCCTTTATTACATGGAATACTACAGCCGAAGACCATCGTAAGAGACCATCATGTAGATCCATTCTTCTTTTTTCTGAATTATTAAGTGGTGCGGCGATTAATTGTTTGGTAGTGGTGATGGTGTTATGTGTTTGTGATTGCGGTGGTTGTGGTGCTGTGTGCAGTGGGTGCGGTGGTGTTGGCGACGGCGTGGTGGCTCTAGCGGTGGTGTCTTAGTTGCTGTGGTAGTAATGTGGTTGCTGTGGTGGGTTCAAATGGTGTGTGGTTGATGCAATTGTGATGTTAGCGATCCGTCGAGGTGATGGTGATTTGGTGGTATTGTTATTGCTATGGTGGGTTCAGATGGTATGTGGTGGTGTTGTGGTTGTTCTGGTGGTGATGATGGCAGTCTGTTGTGTCGGTAGTAATGTTGGTGGTGGTCATTAGTGGGATGTGATGGGATGGAATGGGATGAGATGAGATGGGGTGGGATGAGGGTGTTTGTGAGCAAATATTTGATGAATTGTGATAAATTATTTGATTGTTTGTGACCAATAAATAATACGTGACTTAAAAATATGATCATGACTCATAACTTATTAAATTGTGATCAAGAAATAACTTGTGGCTATTTGTGATATTAAACAAGTTGTGACTTATAAAATTTTGATTTGTAATCGACGAATAAATTGTGACATATAAAATTTTTGATTTATGACTATGAAATAATTTGTGATCAATAAATTTTTTTTATTTGTGCTCGAAAAATAATTTGTGACCAAATTGTATAGAGTTGTGACTTTAATATATTTAATTAATAAAATATGTTTTTAATTAATTATCTCATAAAATAAAATTTAANGTAATGTTGGTAGTGCTAACCTTACACTAAAGAAAGAAATCAATGCATAAAAAAATAATTAAAGAAATCTCCCATATAATTTATTGCTAACCTTATAAAATTTCTTTAAAATTTATAAATTAATTTTTACGAATGTAAAAAATAAAAAAATAAGTTATTTATTTTAAAAGTGCTCATTTCATTTTTCAAAAGTTATAGATAAGTTGAATTGGGATCAACCATGATTGGTGTTAAAGAGATTTATACGCTTACTAAAAAAATGTTATTTAATGACCTCAAAGCAATTTGTTGCCTAGGCCCTCACAAATATCAAGGTCGGCCTTGCATGAAACCTACAACTTTCCATCTACTTAATTTATCAACTTTTATCAAAATTTATTAAAAATCTTATTTTAATCTATACCAAACAAGGACTCTATCTAAATTATTTTCATACAAAATAGCTTTTTATAAAGGTTAATTTATTAACCAGGTTTGCAGTATCACTTTATTTGTGAAAGTTAAGCCC